CCTCGCCCGCCCGCGTCTCTGCTAGGCGGCCGCGATGTCTGACAAGGAATTCATGTGGGCCCTCAAAAATGGAGACTTGGATGAGGTGAAGGACTATGTGGCCAAGGTAGGAGGCGGCGGCGAGGGCTTGGGGTGGGCGAGGCGGCGCTGTGGGCTGAGGAGGGAGGGATGTGCTCGGAGCCTTCAGGGCCCTCCGTCCGGGGGTCGGCCGGGTGGGGCTGGGGGGGTGGCAGGAACCGCGGCCTGCCTGGGGACAGACTCTGTGGGCTGAGGAGGGAGGGATGTGCTCGGAGCCTTCAGGGCCCTCCGTCCGGGGGTCGGCCGGGTGGGGCTGGGGGGGTGGCAGGAACCGCGGCCTGCCTGGGGACAGACTCTTGGGGAGGGCGGTAGGGTGCGCTTCCCCTCCCCCTTCGCGGCCCTCTCGGTTCCTGTGCGTCCTCCTTTTCTCACCGGCCGCCCTGCTCCCCTCCTGCCCCCCAGTCGACCCTCGTCCATGCAGCTGAAGTTATTATATGTCAGTACGTGAAACTTTCTGGGTTGACAGCCAATATCCTAGTCCTGCCTCGCCGATGTTATGTGTATATGCATATGTGTGGCCTCGGTTTGGTTATCCTTCCTCTCTGTGCCTCAGGGCTCATCCTTAATAGGGTGATGCTAAGCTACCGGGTGTGTTGAGGCTTAATTCATTAGCCTTCTGTGAAGTGTTGTGATGTGATATCTAGTTAGGGCAAGTGCTACAGGAACAGTAGACACCTGTGTAAGGGGTGAAAAGTCTTCAGGTACATTGTAGTATTTGGAGGCTGGATTCTGTCCTCATTTGCTTTCACTTGTCAATTAGGTTTGTGGGAAAAGTGCATGTACATAAGGGCAAGATTCTGCTTCTGTGAATCCTTAGTGTTCAGGGATATCGTCTAGAAACTGTTACATCAGAGCAGAGGCTTACATGTAATTTAGCTATAATTACTTAGATCTCTGAACAAGTTAATGATTATCTTTGGGAGGTTAACACATGCTGACATATCTTGCTGTGATGACTTAAGTTCTTCCTACTCCAGTTGTCAACTTTGGTTGAAAGTTACCCAAATTTGTAGTGCTCTTGGCAAAAAGAAATGTGTGCAAGTACTTCCAGCTGCTTTAGTACAAAGTCCAACAGCTTAGCTTGAATAGTCTTCTCTGACAGTTTCAGCTAAGCTACTGGACTTTGCATCAAAGTGGCTGTGCACTCACATGCTCTGCTCTGTCTGTAAAGTGCTAGAGGTAATAACTGGGAATAATATAGTTGTCCCACTTCAGCTCTTTAAGTGTCGTGTACCTATGTCTATGTAATAAAGTTGGATACTACATTGATATGTCTTATTTGTTCTCAGCTTTGGGGGCCTCCAGAGTGTTTCAGCAGCAGATTTGGATGCTTGCTACAGCTTTTACAGGAATTCCATATATGTCTAGAGAACTCACTGCACACTAGTGATTAATGGATCCTTGTGTATCTGTTGCTGAGGCAAAAACTTCGGCAGTAACCATCTTGAGTCGGTTTATATCTAAAAGATCACTGCAGTACTAATTACAAAGCTTTTTTTTATATTCCCACTCTTCCCGAGTGGCACTACAACTTATGTAGCAAATGTATTTATGCGATCACTCTTCATCTGCTTCAGCGCAAAGTCAAATACTTAGTTCCATCTGCTACTGAAAGAGGCTTGAGCCAGCCTGGATGATGCTATAGTAAAGAGGCTGAAGGGCATAATCTAACTGCACTAATGAGGTAAAAATCCTTAAAAGAGAGATACTGTCTGTGGTTAGAGGATTACAATAAAAGAAGCCTTGAACAATCTTACATTTTAGAAATGCTTCTAATGTAGAAGGTGAATAGACTGTGGGAATTTTCTGCTTATTTGTGACCTAATCTTGTTCATTCTTTTCCCCCCACTTGCAAATATGCTTTCTATCATCAGCTGTTAAGCATCCTACTTACCAGTAACACAAGAAGACTGATGTTTTCTTTTCAGTCCATGATGTTTTCGTGACAGATTGTGGGCTAGTAAACTCTTATCCTGGTTTCCTGTGGAAACAAAGTTTATATGAGCAAGTTTTGACTGACTCTTCCTTCCTGATGGTTTGTTAATTTTTTGGCTAATTTTTTGTAAGTTTACAGGGGTACAGGTAGATACTGGTGGGTTTTGTGAAACTAAATGAAGTAGAGGGAGGTACATTCAGGGAAGATGAGCACAAGAATGAGCTTATGTTTTACTGCACAACAGGAAACGTGCATTGAGGAGGAGCAAGAGAACTCTATAAATCCTCTGACTGTAGGAGAAGCCTCAGTTGGAACTTCACATTCTTGGCTCCTAAACTAATGAAATCTGTGAGGGCAAATCATGCTTTGATAGTCACAGTTCTCAGAAAAGTATCTATTCCATGCTGCATGTTTTCTTTTGACTGTCTTCCTTATCAGTTATATGGCTTCTGCTCCCTGCTGCTTTCCTGTTCTAAGTATGATTTCATGTTCAGGAATTTTACTTATATAAACTTTGCAGTAGTAGAAATTCCCTCTCCCTGTAGTGTGGGAGGCAGTCATATATCTTCCAGTCTGCATCTTCATAAAATTCTTACTTGTCTGTCTTCCTGAAACTTTTGATTTCCAAATTCTCATTTGTGTTGTTTCTTGTTCTAGTCTTGTTTCCTCATTAGTTGATTGGAAACAATACAGCTTTTAGCTATAATCTTGCAGTTTTGCTGCCAATTACAACATAAAGGGTTTGACCTTGGATTTTGTTTCATATGTGAATGGCAGGGCTTGAAATGCTAACTAGACCCTGGGCACTTCAAAAATAATGGTATAAATGGATGTCATCAGTGAGGCTATAAGAGTTGAGCTCTGATAATCATTCATGGCTTTTCTTCACTTGTGTGTAATAAGCTGTGGAGGTTCTGTCTTTGAAGTCATTAGTATCTCTTTTTTTTTCATCTCGGATCTGGTTAGTAGGTACCAAGAGGAAGGTAGCTTAATGGCTCTCAGACTCTGATTCAAACAGCAGGTGAAACTTAAAGTATAGTGTGAAAACCTTTCTTTTCAATGACATGGTTTATCCTCTTTAAGTAGAGAAAGTTTGTGCCACTTCAACAGTTCTTGGACAAAGAAAGGATACAGAGGCAGAAGGAAGAGTCTCCATTTGCATTTTATGTATTTCTATGTAAAGACATCTTGCATTCTCCTAAAGATACTTTCTTCAGAAAGAATCTTTTACAGAAAGAGTAGTTCTGAGGGGTGGCAATGAAACAGACAAATGCCAAATGATATTGCTTTGTTGCTTAGCAAAAGAGATCTTAGTGCTGCCAGTATGTGCATTTGGAAGACATTGTTGGCTTCTACTTGATAAAAATTTGAAAGATTCTTTGTATAGTTTGAATAGTCCTGTAAGACTTTCTTTTTTGTAAGAAACATCTTATTAGTCTCAGCATTTCTTGACTTGTAATCGTGTCAACTTTCTCTTTATGATAAATGTTAATTTCTACTGAAGTACTATAGTTAGTGTGTTATGCTAGCAGTTAAGTATGGTGTCATCTATTTTTATGATGACTAGATTAAAAAGTAGTTTTTACTGTTTGCTTTCTTTGATGTCTTCCTTTTGAATATAGCCAGCATATGTTGGCTTCAGAGGTGTCTTTGCAGGAATTGAAGGAATTCTGCACTCTTCCCACATACATCCACTCAAATTTTTAAAATTCCCCAAGAAAGCAGAAGCTTTCATGGGAACAGATGAATCAAATGGCAGTTAAATGGGTGAGGAAGACCCACGCAGATTAGAGAAATTTGCTTCCCCCAAGGGAGGGAACAGGGGGTTAAAAAGTACTAGTTAGAAGAAGAGCAGGGTATATTAAGCCTGCAGAACTTCTTAACGTGAATGGTGTTTGCTGCTCTTCCTTTTCTTTATCCTCCTTCCCCAGTGGAATGAGAAGCTGTACAATTGCTTAAAAAGACTTCTCTATCGACATGTATGTGTAATGTTTCCAATCAGCAGTAGATTTCTCAGGCTAAGTATAATTCCTGTTCAGTCACTAGGCACAAAGTTTTTGGCAAGATAAACTTGGATTTGTAAGAAAGAGGTTACAATAAATGTTTGTTCTAAAGTAATTTAATCTCCCATAGCTTAACTGAGAAGTCCTCACTCCATGAGCTGCTGTAATTCCCTACATCATTGCTTCCTAAACATACCACTGCTTACAGTTATGTTTGGTAAATCAACTAACCTAATGGAATAAGAAGATAAGACAGTCAACCAAACTGGAAGCACCAGATTTTTACTGCTGAGAGGACTGTGAGGTTGAGCTGATGGTAGGCTGTTGTCATGATTTAACTCTTGCTGGCAACTAAGCACCACACAGCCGCTCGCTCACTCCCCCCTGATGGGATGGGGGAGAGAGTTGGAAGAGTAAAAGTGAGAAAACTCATGGGTTGAGATAAAGACAGTTTAATAGGTAAAGCAAAAGCCGCGCATGCAGGCAAAGCAAAACAAGGAATTCATTCACTCCGTCCCATCGGCAGGCAGGTGTTCAGCCATCTCCAGCCAGGAAAGCAGGGCTCTATCACGCGTGACTGTTACTTGGGAAGACAAACGCCACCACTCCGAACGTCCCCCCCTTCCTTCTTCTTCCCCCAGCTTTATATGCTGAGCACGACGCCATATG